TGTCTTCTATACATGCCTTACTGTATATTTCACTCAAGGAACCTTATTACTTAACACAGAATACAATACTTAAGACATGCAAACTCTTCACATACCTTTGAATTTGTAGCCTAAAATGAATACATATGGACAAAAAGCCTGAAATTGCAAGACACAGCAACTGTGATTTTTTTTCTATGTTCTATTTCGGTTAATGGGGATTCTCTCCATTTTAAAATTTATCTGAATGAATCTCTTCTAATTATAAGTTGCTGTGTTTGACACTTGAATTTAAAATGAATTGACATTTCAGAAACAGAAAATTTGCCTGTAGTAGCTCCGTGTGTTCGAAACTCCGCTCCAAAAATAGGATTCCATTAACAGCAAAATGTGAACACCCTACCTAAAACGGATCAGAGGGGCAAAATAATTGTCAGCAGAGACAGTATAAGCAGAGAATGGTGTTCTCCCCAGGAATGCTGGGCATATGTTATGCTGCAAGATTTCTGGTATGGCTAGCTGCAAATTGATTGATAGCTTCATTTAATCCTTTTTTTATAACTGCAGGTATTTAAGTAAAAGCAAAGTATTATTCAGTAAGTACCACAACCCATCATTTTATGTGGACATTAAAATGGTTTATTTTATTTTCTTCCCACTTTATTTGTGATACGTCCAAAATATGTTTGTACAGCTTGAAACTATCACAGAAATTGTCAGAAGCAAAACTGGGTGTTCTGACGGTTTGATTGAAGATTTTTTCAGACTTCTGGCCTATTAGAAAGTATTGACCTGGTTTGGCACTATGAAAAGACTGCAAGAATTAAAGTTTCTACTAAAACATCAGGCAGTGGAGTAACAGACCACTTTGACATTTAAGCAGTGATCATATGGATTCATCATTACCACCACACTTAGATAAAGGGGGCATTTCAGCCCTGCTGGAGCTTTTGTTTCAGGCTATTTGCAAACTCAAGATGGTAACTTTGCATCAGCTTATAAACTGTTCATGGTTTCAAAGTTTCTACTCAAATCGGCACTAAGAGAATTTAACAAAACCTGCAGCATTTTGTAGCAAAGGGAAAAAAACCTCCATAGCTCCAAGATCATGAAACACAGTGCCAGAAGAAACAGTCAGCCGATTCCATCAATTTCCCTTCAGCAATGTATAAAGCTGTCAATATGGTTAGCACTTGATATACAGGACAGCAAAAAAGAGTGAATGCTCATGGGTGGCAAAAGGCAGAAAAGAAATATAGAAAAGGAAGATAAGTACAATGAATACAGTGATGTCATGGTTTACCTTGTGCATCTCTTCTCCTTCCATCCAGTCAGATTCTACAATTACAGCGTGGGGGAGGGTGGACATCACTTTACTTTACCTGGCAGCAAGACAACTCTGAAGTCAGCCATGGTGGGACATGCCAGCTAGTATTGAGCAATAAAGGAATGCGTTTAAGGGTAAGCAGCAACAATAATACAGTACTATAGTCTTATATGCTTTTGCTCTCTCTTCAAAATGCAATGGCAGCAGCATCTTACAGACAGCAGAATGCTGGAGTGTAGAAACTCTTCATATTGCTTTTAATCCACTGAACATTGGTGGCTTTAGAGGCTTCATCCTAAATTTTTGTACACAGAAACAAAAATATATTTTTTAAAAGCTCTCCCCCTTTTAGCTATATATATAAAAAAAAAAAGTAGTAGTAACCTTCAACCCCAGTGCTTGGTTTCCTACACACAGAAGTACCTGGGATTTAAAAAACAGGAATTTAATTAAAATATGCTGAAAGTGAAGATTAAATGAACAGAAAAGCAGCGCTGTCCAGTGTAATACTTGCTTAGCAAAGGAGATACCAGCTAGACCTGGGGAAATTTCTTTTGCTGGACAACACTGCCAAAAAATATAATTTCAGGTTGATACAAACAATGTACAAATGCAAGTCAAATCCAGCAAATAGTTTCAGCCCAAAGGCTGAAAAATTTCAGAAAATTTGTAGGACTTAATTTTGAAATTCTTTTGACTTTTCATTTTGATATTTTATTTCAAAATTGACCTAAATACAAAAAAAGGAGATAGAGTGAGTAAAAAGGTTAAAATTAACCCCTTGAATGAAACATTTCCAGTCAATTTGAATTTTTTTTTTTAATTTTTACTTCAGCCACTAAATCAAAATCCATTATTCAACAGCTCTAACACCAGCTAAAAAGTTACTGTGGCATTAAACAAAGCTAACCGTCGTTCCCTGTGTTTCAGAGGAGGTAAAGATAACGTTTCTCAACAGAGGACAAGACTGCCAGAGGAAGAACTGGTCTATTGCCAAAGTCTACAAATAAAGTGCTGGAATGAAAAACCTCACTCGGAAGAGGAGCCATTCCGATTCTTTCCACAGGATCCCAAGAAGTGGAAGTGGCAGTCTTTTACATACAGAGTGCTGAGCATGTGACTTATTCACAAAATGCTCCAAATACAAGATCAAGAGAGTGAGGTAGGATATTTCCTGCCACTAAAGACACTTCACTGAAGAAACCTACATCCAGAAATGGAACCCCATCTTCCAAGTCGTCCAGGAGACTGTGTAACCTTGCCTAAAGAGATCCAGCAAGTCTGTATTGTGAACCTAATACAAAGCGATAGCTTTGGAATTCACTTGGGGGTGCTGAGAATTGTGAGGGCGTGTAGACAAAACGGGGCCCTAAATTGAAATGGTGGGTTTTTGAAAAACCCCATGTGGTGCACACACCCGAACTTACCTGCCTCTCCAGCAGTGGGGAGGGGAGGGTGAGCTGCTGGCAAGCAAAGCGGTCCCTGGGCTGGGGGAGGGAGGAGGTGGGGGAGCTGGTGCTTCCCTCTGCGTCAGCGGCGGCTCCCCCCCGCAGGCACCCGGTTTGGGGGGTTCCGGGGACCACTGCAGTCGCGGAGGGAAGCACCGGGCCCCTGCGCAGTTCAGGCAGGCTTGCTCCAAGGAGCAGGGGTCAAAAAAAAAAATCAGGCTTGCCACCTTTTTTTTTCTCCGTGGGCAGAGCCTGCCTTCCCAGGCTGCTGCCAGGCTGCCTGCAGGGCTTTCTGCAGAGCCCCTGAGCTGCACAGAGGCCGGTGCTTTGCTCTGCGGCTGTACGGCAGTAAATTAAAACTCGTCGGAGTTTTAGTTTGCTGCGCCCCGAGTCATTTAAGATGCAGTACACCGCCGAATTTGCTACAGTGGCTGGAATTACTGCACAATATGTTGCCAACATGTGCAAACACCGACACCATTAAAGAGGTGAAAAAGCATTTAGCCCGCTTTAAAGTGTCATGCACATATGCCCCTTGTTTAGTCTACCCACGGCCCAGGTTTGCAAAGTGCCATATATTATTAACAGGCAAAAACATATCTGTGGAGAGACCTTTGGAAGCTGAAATTGTTGCTTCCAAAAAAATAGCAGTAGCATCTCCTTCTTTGGTCACTTCGGTATCTTCCCTGAAGATATTTGAGACTTGGAAGGACAAGGGCACAAATTGATTCAATCTGAGCACAATTCAGCATATCGTCCTGAGTCAACATGACCTACCACAGATATCCCCATACACAGATTATCAATCAGGCCTGTTCCATCAGAAGTAGATCATTGAGACAAATTGATTGTGACCTTGCTACCTAGGGAAAGCCTGAGCCCTGTGGATACAAACAGGAGAGGTGGAACAGAACTAAAAGAAGTACCATGGTAAATGTAGGCTGAGTAGCATTTTCTCGTAAGTAAAAGATAGGCAGCAGAGTGAGACCTTGCTTATACCCTTTGTATCTCTGTAGGTTACAGAACACCCAGTAGCTATAACTGAGGTAATAAGAGTCAAACTGGACCCACTCCAATCATGTCAAGCCTTGAAAGAAACATGAGGGAAAGCCACATAGCTGTGATCAAGAGACCACTCAAAAAAGCCACCTCCCATCCTGGCTGTGGAAGCCCCTTCCAAGAGAGGACAGCATCCAGGAGACAGCAGATTTTGGAAACTGCAAAAAACATTCACCTGGAAGGGTTGGGTTGGGGGTGGGGGGCGGGGGGGGGCGTTTCCCCATCCTGAAAAGTTATTTCTACATTTCTGTATTTTCAGTCACTCTCCCCTTTCAGAGAAGTTTAACCCTACAGGATCAAATCATTAGTCATCATCACTCCCTCTCACAGACCTGAGCAGGGACTAAGAAGGGGACTCTGAAGTTGGACCGAACTGAGAATCAGCGAGAGCTGAAGGACTGGCTGTGGGAAAGCAAGCCAAAGTGTCAGACTGAACAGGCAGCATACTCTGAGGTAGGCATCAACAGGACACTAAACAACAGGTGTTCAACTTTTGGCAAGTCTTTACTGGTTACCCAACAGGCCTAAAGGACTGCTAGAGGAAGAAGGCCATTGACCAGCTACTGCTGGAAGGGCAACTGAAATCACTATGGTAGAAGTGGAGGGACTGGATTCCAGAAGTACGAGAAGTTCCCAGCATCTAGAAAAAGATGAAGCCGGAGAAGAGAAAGCCTGAACCCCAGATGTGTGCGTCAACCTCAGAACGGCCACAAAGAAAAGCTTTTATTTTCTTGGGCTTTGTCATTGGAGGAAAGGTTGAGAGGAGGCATTTTTGTACCATAACAAGTTCCTGAGGAGTTCAGTGTGGCTCATATATCTGGCACTGAGAGATTATTGCTAGGCTGCAACAGAGCTTCAAATAATAAATAAAATATTTTGAAGTCACATGAAGGAATTTGCTTTACCCTTGCAGCAAGCTTGTGGTATACAGACATCATAACCATGCTCAATGAAAGAGTCAGTCTGGTAGGGATCAAGATGAGAAGAAAATGCCAGCAAGGTTTCCTGTGGACTGGAAGCCCGTGACATTGCTGCTTATGATCTCTCCTAATTTCCAGAAAACCCAAAAAGAATTGCAGAGGAGAGAGGAGATCAATTCCCAGGGATCTTTAAGCAATGAAAAAAAAAAAAATAGGGCCCCAAATCCCAAGACCAGGTACTAATATTGTGTTGGAAGGAAAAAAGAGTGACTGAAAGAATGGGGTCAGCCAGAGTGCCTGAGTTTGCAAACTGTCTCCTGAGCTGCTCCAGCGTCTCTGTCACATGGGCAATGAATACGTTGGCCGTGGATGGAAAATGAACTGTAGGGTCCTGAGAACAGGGATCACTTCAGGGATGTTGTTCCTCTGGTTGCTGGGAAACATTCAGAAATGAATATTTTCCTTTGTATGCTTTTCTGCCATACCCTTTCTTCCATCTGTATTATTTTTTCATAAGGTCTTATCCACAAAATTAGACCTGTTGGTTGTTATGTTTTTAACATAGCTTGGTCAAACCAATGCAAACTGTTCTGTAGACACTTACTGGAGTGTAAGTGTGGCTTAAATGGTAAAAAAAGGTAGTTCTTATAATGAAAATTGAGCTGTTCCATTGTAACTGTTCTGTGCATCAGCTATGTCATATTATCATTTGAAGTTAAACTGTCATAATTTAGCACCTGTTGTATCCAAGGGCAAATTATTGCACTTCACTTCATTTAGCGTGGGATAGGAGCAGGCACTTGGAACAAATACAACAACTCAGCCATTGCATACTCGTGAGCAGTAAATGCCTCTTTCTCAAAGCAGCATAATTGTTTTGTCCGTCCGTAGCCATTATTAACTGAAAGGGATTTCTAACTGACAGGCTAAATGGAAATAAGCTTGAAGGAACTTAATATAAACCAGAATTAACGCAAAATAAGTGTTAGCACATAGCCTTTGGCATCCATATAAATAAATACATTTAAAATCATAACTTAAATTAATTCAGTGCAACAAACCCACACCTTGCTAGGCATAACAAGAGGAAACAGGAAGAATGAACAGGGCTTTCAGTGAGACATGACACTAACGACAGGTGGACTAGTGAGCCTGACTACATATTCTGCTTGTGATTTGTCAACCGTTTTACCTCTTTGCCTCTCAGCTGATGTGGCTAACAGATTCACAGTTATGGAGCCATCAAGTAGTATACTAGAAGAAAAGTAGGTCATCTGCGTGCTAAACGATTGTGTCCATTTAGTTTGCATATTCAATGGAAGTGCAATCTAAAGAAAACAATTATTGCAGACAATCTCCACAGACTTCAACATGTGAATTATACAGCCATATGCAAAACGGCATTCAACACACTTCACCTAAACTATTAAAGTGACCACTAAGAACCACTGCGTATAACTTTACAAAGAAAAGCTTTACTGATTTGTAATATGTGAATGTTGTGACATTGATATAAATTGGCAAGTGCTCTTGGAACAGTTCATTTGAACATTTAAATAGCCTTTTCCCAATTTAAAGTAAATCTAATACTGGTACTACCAATGTGAACTAAGCTTGTTTGTTATTCCACTTGCGTTGTTGAAACAGCGTGCAGTCTCCTGCATTACAAGAGGTGTTTAGAGCTGCTGAATAATCAACGTACAACAGCATTTCTCCTTTTCTTTTTGGCCTTATAAACAAACAACTGGGTGCCTAATTCACACATGAATCTCTTGGACAGAATCTTGTGTGTAGAACCCACAGCGGTTTTGTGAACTGAACTAATTGTCTTTTAGATTAACTTCTTGGAAACCATGACAGTAAAAGGAAGTATTAAGCCAGATAAGTAGTGGGCTCAGCTCTCTACTTGCGAAAGTATAACTTGTCACTATTGCTGCATATCTGGTGCCAGGAAGAAGTATATTTTCCTAAGATTTAACTATTACATTAATTAAAAGGATTTAAAAATAAAGGGCTGGAGGAAGACACTCCTATTACATGAAACCTTGTCATCAACTGTTGGCTACATCGCATGACTTATTCAAAGTACAAAGGCTGAAACCTACTGCAACACTTCTGATTGCGTGCCCATCATGGCATGTCCTAAACCCTGTAGCAGAGGTCACACAGTTGTAACATTACATGGCTTCTTTCTGTGTCTTGGGCCTTATTGATTTGTTCATACAGATCTTAGCATCAATTTGGAGAGACTTGCTACACGTGACTACTATTTACCTCAGACACATTTTACCAGGCTGAATTATACACAGCAGGAGTCCCATCTAATTTTAACACCATACTATTCCACTAAAAGCTTAACATTGTATGTTGCGAGGAGTATTGATAACTGGGACTAGAAAATACTTTGTTTTCTGTTTCTGCACTTGCAACAGCCCTTTAGAAAGATATACATTTCCCTGCAACAACTAACTGCATATTCATTTTAAGGTAGATCTAGTTCCAGATTCCTGAGACGGAATCCTCTACCTGTTCACAAACCCACAAAGCCAGAGCAGCAATATAGAAAGTTTCTATTCTCAACAGAATTCAGTGAGCAGCACGATTGGTTTGGGAAAAACACCCAACCAACCAAAAATCCCTTCCCAAAAACCCACACAGAAAATGTTCATCTTCTATGTACAAAACTGATGCAAACAAGTGAAACATTCTAGTTATGTTTTGTAAAACGGATATTTGGGATCAACAAAACACCAAAACATTCAGACCCTAGATTACAAAAATGTGTTTCGATCTAATTGTCAATTCCCAGTTTAGACAGTCCTTGTCGAAAATCGTGTAATTCATCTATCTTCCCATCTAGTACATCTAAAAAATTCTTTAATTCAGTTTTAAGGTTGCTTTGTCTGTGTTTGTTCTCTTCCACTTCTGCCCTGAGTGCTCTGACTTTCTCTTCAAGGTCTTTGTTCTTTTTCTCAGCAGCCTTAATAAAAAACAGAAAAAGAAAAATAACATGAATCACAGAGGAGGCAGATGAACACATTTAACAGAATAAAGCAACAATGTCGGGAAGATTTTTAAATGTTTTACTTTGACTTCCTATTACTGTAACGCTAGCACCTCTGAAAGCAAGTTTGACATGTTTTGGCTATTATTTCTTTAATCTGACTAGTTCAGGGAAGAATAACGATTAAGTGGAAAAGATGCTTTGCATTAGATATTGTCATTCAGTTGATATCTTAAAATTCAGCTGTATTTAAATCATGCACTGTGCATATATTTCTGTCGTTCCTACAGTTGCACAATTAGACTCCAATTATATACAAAATGATCTATTGTGCTTTCAGTTTAGAAAATAACCTTTCCAGAGTATCATCTGGGGTACCTGAGGATTTATCTATCTACTTAACTGTCTTGAATTATACTTGGGCTTTATACTCAAGCATCTAGTCAGTGAAAACAATCTGATGTAGTCCCTCAATGTAGTTTACTCTAGTAATGTTTTTTTTCCTATTACATATCTTTTCTTTTTTTTCATTCAGCTTTTTCTTCTGCTCAATTAACAGCAATGCAAGTACACAAACCTATTTTCACTAAGAATCATGAACAATGCTTTAAGCACATTGTGGTGAAGAACATTATAGTGACCTATGCTTTCATTACTTTCTAACCACCTATTCCGGGGCGGGCAATTATTTCGTGTGGAGGGCCATTTACCGAGTTTTGGCAAGCATGGGTGGCCCTGCCCCCTTGACAGGTGCCTCACCCCCTGGTTGCCATCTTGGGACCAGAAGTCCCACCCCCTAACCCCCAACCTTTGCCACCAGAAGTCCCTCCCCTTGCCCCTGGAAGTACTCCTTTCAGCAAGGGGTTGTGCCATCTTGGAACCAGAAAAATATCAAATAATATTTCAAAAATCAAACATCTACAACATTCATTAATTCAATTTCAAAAAATATTTTTGTCCTGATTTACATGTATTTGTGTAGTGTACACAAAGATGATCACACAATAGCTTAAAATTAAATCTTACTCTTATATATTGTTGGGAAGAGGGGGGCATGGGGGAGCATGGAAGCATGTGGGTATGTGTGTGCATATGTGGGGTGTGGGTGGGTATGGGGTTTGTGGGGAGCAGTGTGTGGGGGGAGGGTGGTCAGGGTGTGGGGGTCTGCATGCATGGCAGTGTGAGGGGTGGGTGCATGTATATCATGGGGTGTGCTTGTGAGACTCGCCCTATGAACACACACACATACAGACACACACACACTGTGCCTCACTCACTCACTCTTCTTCCCTCATTGCTCTGTGTCCCCCTCCCTCACTGTGCATGCATGCACGTGCGTACACACACACACGCACACACACAGGGCAGGGCCGGCCTTTCTTCTGAGTCCTGCTGGCTTCCCTTGTGTCCTACTGCCCCTGGCTCCTGTCACCTTTGACAGGCAACCAGGAGCAGATAAATATTAATTTTCTATACTTTTTAGGTGCCCTGCAGGCATGGGTAGAATGGCCTGGTGGGCCAGATCCAGCCTGCAGGCCGTATTTTGCCCACCTCTGACCTATTCAATAGCCTTCCAACTATATTTCTGCCATGTTTTATTTTCTCTTTTTTAAATGTTATGTTTATGGCAGTTTGAAAAAGAGTGTGAAAATGCCAGACTGACAGAAACCAAAGGCCTTTATTTGTACTCAAACTCAGCCTTGGCAAGAAGCCTCAGTTTTTAGTACCCCCTCCATATGAGAGGGTGGCACAGATTCCATGCTGATTCAGTTCTTGATCTAGCTGCTAATACCGCTATTTATGAAAATGATTTGAAAGTATGACTTATTTAGCAAAGGCCTAATCAGGCAATAACATGAAATCCCTTCTTGGACATTTCCAGGCATCGCCACACCAAACTCATACCAATGACCCAGAAGTCTTTGTATACCAGTCCTCCAAATCATCAAGTTATGCTGCTGCTTTTTGTTGTGGTTTTGCTTTGTTTTTTAATCTCATTTTCCTTTTTACATGCCTTTAATAACTCCCAAGTCGACATCTTTCCTGAAGTGAGCTCTGCTAAACTCATCTCCAAGACCAGACTGGCCTGCTCTTTCACTATATATAGGCATTTATACATATACATTTTTATGCTCTGAAGCATCGGAGATCCAGAGTGTCAGAGCAGACTCGATTTACTGAATCCTTTTCGTACACGAGCTGGCGCACACTGCAGTGCATTACGTTGTGTGCAGTAAGTATAAGCAGCAAAATGCATGTCAGTATGCAGAAAATGGCAGCAGTGAGCTTTTGAACTAAAACACCTTTGATATGTTTTAGGTTCAAAAGCATGCCACTGTCATTTTCTCAGCACTGATGTGCATTTCACCACTTATATAACTGCATGCATCACTGCCCTGGGCACTTTTAAAAGCACCCGGCTCTGTGGCGCAAACGTGTACAAATGCCATATCTGTTTATCTGTAGTTTTGGTATGTCAATGGTGGGAAAAAAAACAGTTAACTGGTGAGAACGTGACTACATGCTCATAACATCTGGTCATGGGGTATGTTTAACTATGCAAGCTTAGCACTGTCGCTGACTTCTGCAAAGGAGGCTGAGAAAAGAAAACATACAGATATATCTAAAAAAGAGAGATACCCCATAGCTGAATCAATCTTAAAATGAGTCGTTGGTATAGCCCAGCTGTGAAGATCTAGAAATACAGCTATGTCTATGTCTTGCTACTTCTTACTGTAAAATCTAAGATCTGTCAGGCTGCTGTTTTATCCATAACTTTTTTCATTGCTCCTCTGTTTTCTGTTTCAGTCACAAAGTACTCTATTTTGCCACGGAGGCAGTGATTCTCAATTAGGGTGGCTGGGGCACCGTGGGGTGCCGCCAGGTCTTTTGAAGGATGCCACAAAGTGTGAGAAGCTAAGCAAGATGTGAAGAGAGACGCAAAAAATTTAAGTAGATAAGCCAGGCTCAGGCTCATCTCTGCCTGGATGATACCCCACCCTTACTACTCAGCCCCTGTGTAAGGAGATAAGCACTGTAGTGTATTAATTCATTTTTTAAAGTGGGTGCCACTCAACTCGCAAGTTATGGAGGGGCACCTCAAGTCTAGTGAGAGATGGCTCAAGTTCAAAAAGTTTGAGAACCACTACTCTAAGGTCTTTCACTGCCTATCCCCACCCTGCCTTTCAACTCAGTTGTGTATTTAACATCTCAGTTTCTCCAGTGCAGGCAGACTTCATCACTTGTGCCTCTAAGATTGCTCTCAAGCTACTTCTGTGCATGCAGGGAAAAATATCCACAAAGGCTACTTCATTATGCTGCTTCAAATCCCTCTTTAAACCTCCTTTGCTATGAGGCCTACAAAAACTTGGTAATTGTTAGGCAGCTGCTCTGCCTTTACTTCTGCTCGTCAGGCTGACCAGTTTTGCCTCACTGCTCCCTTCTGCTCTTCCATCTATCATTCACATACACGTATCACCTTTCCTCTTACACTTAGATAGTGAAAGCTTAGGGATGGCCTCTCTGTTCAGTTTCTGTACGACACCTGGCAAATGAGGCCCTGACCCATGAGAAGGGGGTGCTCAGGCATTATGGTCATACAAAATTACCACCACTACTGCTGCATTCTTAAAACTGTAATAATGCAAATCCTTGAACTCATGATTTCTAAACAGAGAATCACAAAACTATTAAAACCAACCAGACTTCATATCTATAGTGATGTTGCAAAGGGGGCAATAGATGAAGTACTTAGATAAAAAGGGGGCGTTAAACTAGACCATTACTTTTTTTGAAATGGGACTATCCAGTATATGAACACATTCATGTAACAAACTTTTCCCATAAAGTTATAGAGCTAGCCATTAATGCAAAAAAATCATCTCCTTTTATATTAGTTAGCTTTAGCTGCCTGAACATTATTCAACAGACTTGGCTATTCAAGAAAGCTATTTGGAAGGTGACTGGTGAATGGCTGTCAGTTACTGTATGCGTTAGCAGTCACTGACAACACTTCCATATGAGGCTATGTAAGGCCACGGCAGCATAAATGCTGGATATAGAATATCTTGGAATCAGCCAGGTGACAGTTGCAACATGATCTCAGAGAAGCAACTTCTTCAAACAGCAAGGCAAAGAACTAGTATTGAATTGCTTCTAATTCTGGGGCAGAGAACAGTATATTTTGCATGTAATTAGCACACATTTTTGCAAACTGGGGATCCCTTATATTTAACAATTATAAATACAAACAGGTAAAAATATATCACAATAAAAAACATAAATATCTTCTCAACTTTATTTATATGGATGTCTATGCTGAACTCTACCTGTAATTTCTGAGATACAGATTCACATTCCGACATTAGCTGGGGTATAATTTCACCCTGTTTTTGAAGCTCCTCCAATTCCTGGAGAGAGAAAAAACATTTAAAAAAGTTTTAGCACACTTCAGTTAAAAAAAAAAAAAAAAAAAAAAAAAAAAAGAGGCTGTGAAATGACTTGTGAAAGTAGACCATATGCCACACAACCGGAGTTAAAATACTTGAAAATAATATTTTTTTCCATTATAAAATACATGGTTAATTAATTTATTATGGGTAGAAAAGTAGTCAAGTTTGCACTGCATTTAATCCTTTCTTGAATACACACTTTCAAAATGACAACACAGTCTAGTCCCCCAGGATTAATGTAATTAGCTACATGCATAAATTGTCAATCTAAAATTACTAGAAATCTAGATATTCAATGAGAGACGCATCTGAAATACAGTCAGGCTAAGAAAGATCTCTGTGTGTTAGACAGACAGGACATTAGACATGGTTTTGCTTGCATGGCAGCTAAAAAATATCAATATAGTTTTAGGCTACATTAGAACACAGAATGGGAAAGTAATAGATTGTCTTCTATGTAGCTCTGAGCAATCCCACCTGAGACACTGTTCACATCTTACACAAATGAAATGGACCAACAAAACGAGTTCAGAAGAAAGCAGTAAGATAATACGGAAGCAAGACTTACACAGAAAGTTTAAAAGGACATAATAAGGATTGGGGGCAAAGGGACATACTTGAAGGGTGTAACTAGCCAGGACTACACAATATCATCTAGTATTTAGTGGTTATTATATGTAGCCTGATCTAACTTAAATCTGACGTAGTATTGAGCAGTTAGGCTATGGCCACACATCGTAAGAAGGTTTTTTGGATCTGAAAAAGAAACATTTGCATATTCTGCAGCAATTGTCCTGCTTTCTGCAAAAACTTGCCAAATATACCATCCTGCCCCTAGATAAAAAAATTCCTAGATAACCTCCTAGATAAAAGATCCTAATATTTCAAGACACCTCCAATAGTGTGTGTTCCTCTCCAACTTAAGGAACAGTGTTCCTTCAATCTGACTTCCTTTTATTTCCTCCTGAAATGAACAGAACTTTAGAGGAGCTTCTTTTACGGCAACATCTATGAGCAGGCTCCATGCTGGCTTACCTAGCAAAGTCAGGGACAGACTACTTATGACATGAGTATTAGGAATTAGCTAATAAGAGAGCAATTTGAAAGCAAGCTGACACACTGCTCAGAAGTAAATGGAATCTAAGCCTGCAACATCCAAGAGTCAATCAATTTTCAGTTTGATTTGGCGTCTCAAAAATATGAACCTTGAGGAAACAGATGTCACAAAATAGGGGTTATTACATATGCATTACAGTAGAAAGGCTGGGAAGAAAGCATGACATTTTCTTTTGAAACATGGTGCTGAAAACTATATTATATTTATAACTGTACATCAAAATCTATTTCCTTAAACTATTTCCTTGTACCATCTTAAAAACCTTTAACTGCACTGCTTTTTAGGGGCACCAGCTGAGAAGCTATAATGACACTAGGCAAGCTTGACTACACCTGCTGTCTGCATGTGCTCAAGTCAGCACAGAACATTTGGCTGCTATCACAAAAAAAATGATTCAGTTATTCTTTCTCTGTATTCAAGGGCCAAGTCTTCAACATCATTCCCCTTGCCAAAATGAGCACCTCTATGTTAAAATAATAAATTTATTAACTCTGAATGAACATCAGCAACCTCCTTGGATTTTACTCTCCCTCTTGGATTTAAAATAAAAGGGCATGAACAGCAAAGCAATAAAGCTTAACACTTCACTGTAAAACATCCTAAAGAGAAAGCACATTTCTTAACAGGGAGACTATGTTCTTAACAGGGAAACAACCTTATTTCCCCCCCCCCTCTTGCTTCTACTGAATAACTTTGTATAGTGATTAAAGGGGAGGGATTGAGAATCAGAATCCTGAAATCCTATTCTCAACTCATACTATATGACTTTGGACAAGTCAATTAACTTGTCCAATTAATTTTACCTAGCTGTAAAATGAGGATACTCCTAATTACCTTTCTTAGCAGGTATTATATTGTTTAATTCAGGAACAGAGAAATCCTCAGAAGAAAGGTGTAATATGTACAAAGTATTCATCAAGTTTTGTTAACAATCACCAGATTCAGATTCAAATTCAAATAAAAAAAGGGGACCTATTGTAACATGTGGAGCTCTCCTCGATTGTGGGTGCAATATTATGCAAAGCAACACAAAGTTAAAAACAGACCCACTCAGACTCCAAAGAATGTATGCCATTTCTATATTTATTTTACTTACTAGATTTTTGTCCTGAAGTTCTGATTCCAGTTCCTGGAGGCGTCTGCTCAGCTGTGCATTTCTTTCTTTTTCTTTATTTATTTCATTACATTGTTCTTCCAGCTCTTCAATCTTTAAGTAACATCATACAGTCAGTACAAATTCCAAACCTCTGCCAATCTGGGGCAGATGCTTAGCTGATGCAAGCTGTCACAGTTCCACTGAAACTGAGGCACCTATGACAATTTACACCAGCTGAGGACCTGCTACCTAGAATGTACCATTTAACACAACAGATGAAAGTTACCTTTCGTGCTTCTTTTTTTTTTTAACAGCAAGCTAACCCATTCACACATCCACTAGGAAGCTCCCTGGGTTGTATTTACCATAGCTCATGGAGTTCCTTTTATAATTACATGGGACTGTGCATGGCATTGGGATGTTCCAATTAGTAGTGAAGAGGTGGCTAGTGATAAAAATTTAATTTTATTTCCATGCAACTTGTATGAGCCCATAATTTATCTATTTTTAACAGGAAGAGAAAGCAAGCTCTCTGACTTGCCTAACATCTCCTCCTCAAGGACAGCTTGTTTTCCAGACAAAGTGAAAGGACTAGCTATTGCATCACAACTTATGCAGGAGGACCGGCGCTGGGTAATAGATGGTGCTTTGTTCCTGCACTGAGGAAGTTAGCTCACTGATTCCATACCTCTTAGCCACTCCAGACCCCGAACTGGAGCTGAGCTGCCTATAGGGCACCAAGCCAGCATGTTAAAATATTTTTTAAATTTTCAGTGTCCTGTTCTTTTGGGACTGCCCTTTGCTTGTTTGAAGTCAGCCAATGTGCAAAAATGTCCAACTAATTAACAGAGGAGAGAAAACTTCCTTGTGCACCATTTGGGGACAGCATCAGTGCTTAATAAGAAACTTATGTGAGGGAAAAGACACAGAAAAGGAAGAGGATGACACTGTATATAAATAGTGCTAGATGAAGCATAGGAAGCATTTAATGGCTGGCCTCTAGGTACTCTAATCTCTCAGCCACAGTAACGTAGCACTGTGACAAACTTTCTTTTGAAGACTACACTTGGTGAAAAGTGGCACATTTCCATCTGGTGATGCCAGTGAGAGCATCTTTTTTGTGAGATACTCTACATGGGGCAAGTGAATAATTATATTGCATACTTTACTACTTAGCTACCATTCACTACTTCAGGTTGCTGTTTCTCCCTCCTACATGAGAAAACTCTGTCTTTATCCTTAATAAACACTAACTCTTTGGCCCTGGGAGCCTGAATCCTCTAGAAAACTAATCATACTGAGATGCTAACAATTAGCATCAAATCATTCCAACTCCCAGTGTGTAAAGTGGCGTCTACATACAATGAAATATTCTTGTGAAGTACCGTTTCGTTCTCTCTGAACTACAACGTTTCAAAAAGCAAACGCCCCAAGTCACACACAACTATGTATGAAATCTCTCTTGCAAAGACTAAATGAATTCCTTCAAGGCTGTTAGTGCCCTAACAGGCAAGTCAGGTTAAACCTGGCTACCAGAAATATTTCCACAAGCTGTAACATTCTTCACTTGAAGGCTAGTGGCATCCAAAAAAGGAGCAAAAGGACTTTGAAAACCTAGGGACAAGTGAAAAAATATCACTTACAATCTGATCCTTACGCTTGAATCCCTCAGCAACCCACATAATGGAAGGGCAAAAAAGGGATCCAGCAACAAAAGGACCCAACTTTTTAGCATGTAATGTAGGATCAGTAGAGTGAAATTATCACAACAAGCAGTGCTCCCAGAAATGGAAATTTTGCTGTACTCCAACTTGTGGCAAACAATGTGTGGGCCAATGACAAGCCTTTGATCGACAGCACCACATTAGAGGAGCATCTTCTACTGTCTCTAAACTAGAATTTTTAAATATCTAAATTGACATTTCTCCACTGTTCTCTCTTGCAGCTCACATTCAATCTTTGCACTACAATAGCATGAAATTATACACTCAGGGCGGGAAAGGGTTTTTTGGGAACTAGATATATTCTTCAGATTTGTGGTGTGGAGAGACAATTCTTTGAAGCTGGTGGGCCTGATTCTCAGTCTGGCTCCATACCCCTCCTCCCTTTTGTGCTGGTAGTGTTGAGGGAATAGCTCATGTCATGGCACGGCTAGCTGAGATTTAATTGCACTATTGCATGGTTCAAAGCTTTATCTTGCAAACAACAAGTTTGTTGTAACAAACCTTTATCTTGCAACACTCAGGTGCCCATACTATCTCAATCTGCCGGCAGCCTGTTGGCCAATTCCAGCCCACAGAGCCATGAAATCCGGCCAGTGGGGCTCCCCACAGGTTCAAATGTTTGGCAGTAGGGAACAAGGGAAGCTCTGCACAGCCAGCTCTAGCCTCACTCGGGTCACTATAGCAAAGTGGGGGGCAGGGATCAGGGCCAGGCCCCACCCCCACCCCACATCCAGATCAGGTCAGGCCACCTCCCTACTCTTGCCTGTGCTCCCCACCCCAGTCTGGGTCGGGGCCAGGCTGTTCCCCACCCCTCACATGAGTCTGGATCAGGGCCTCTCTCTCCCCATTCCCCACCCCCACCAACCACGCATGTCTGGATTAGGGCTACAGTGCCCTGCCCTCCACCCCCCGATGCATGTGGATCAGGGTCAAGCTGCCCAACCCCTTGCAGCTGGACTGAGCCCATCAACTGGAGCCAGCCTGCAGAGGGACCTGGCACCATTCATCCAGCTTGAGGGGTGAAAAGGTTGGGCACCACTATCCTAGGCAATATGTAAACCCCAGTCCTCCCACTTGCTCTGAGTTCTGAGCTTTCTGATGCCAGAGGCAGGGAAAAGCAGCTATTTGTCTCCTCTATTCCCTCTACTCCATTTTTCCTCTCTCTTTGATTTCTAATATAAGGAGTAAGATGAGGCAGCAGACAAGCCAGAAGATGGAGAGAACAAACAAACACAAAAAGATGACATTGCTCTGTCTTCTTTTTCTATCCTGGGAAAGAAGGAATATAAGATAAAGGTTTTAAAAGAGACTCATTAAAATACTTTAAATTTAACTTAAAACTATGTGCATAAATCCATACTTAAAAAAAAAATTTGGTCTTTGGGTCTGAATTCTAATATTGGTGGAAATCTGACCTTTGTGCTGGTTACCCAGTAGTCTGCAGATTTCTTGGTAGCTTTAGATTTAGGATTTGGAAAGCCTACCGCTGCTGGTTGCATTGGGAAGTATCATGCCTGCTTGCAGACATTAAAAAACAAACAAACAAACCAAAAAAAACCCCTTGCTTTACCGGAAGAAGCAGCGTATTACTTCGACCCAGCTCTGCAGCGTCTGTATAGATCAGGCACTTCAGTGGGGCATTATAGTGCTTTTAGCTAAAGCCGATTCAAGCAGCTATTAGATAAAAGTGCCAGAAAAGCCACACTAAAGTACCTGATCTATACAGACACTGGGTGAGTTGGGTCCAGTTAACAATGCTTCTTCTGAGCATGTGCTGGGAGCACACCCAGTTTAAAGTGCCATTTTTTAATGTCTGCAAGCACCCATGTAGCACAGATGCTTTGTGAGAAGAATGGCTTAAGGTGAGGAAAAAGAAGTAGGTCTCAGGTACCCAAGGGAAAGGGACTCTGGCATTTCAAATAGTTCTTTACTGCTAACTATGTATTGGACTCATATTACCTTGTTCCTGAGTTGATCGTTTTCTTCCTTGCATGCTGTAAACTGTTTTTTCCAATGCTCTACGCTGGCAGCAGATTCTTGCAGTGCAGAGGTTAGTCTGGCATTGCTTTCTCTTAGAGTCTGCAATTCTGTTTCCCATTTCTTTACACTGGAGGAGCTAAGAACAGCAGAACAGTATTAGATTCATCCATGTTTTACTCCCACTTCTTCTAATGCACCCAATTGTAAAGGTTGATAGCAAACTAAACTGGATACAGCATCCTAATGGAATGGCTCCCATGTATGTTTATCACTGATCCCTTGTTACAAAGGACACTGGACCTTTGATTACTTCTCTTCTATCTGCTAACCAGCCTTTAGAGAGCATAAGCCATACTGCTTATTTTTTCAAAGACTTTGCCAAGGATGGAGGTGAGACTGACTGGCCTATAGTTGCCCGGGTCCTCCTTCCTCCCTTTCTTGAAAATGGGGACCACATTGGCCCTTTTCCAGTCCTCCGGGACCTGGCCCATGCGCCACGAGTGTTCAAATATTACCACCAGTGGCTGCGCAATGACGTCAGCCAGTGCCTTCAGTACCCTCGAATGGAGCTCATCCGGGCCTGCCGACTTAAACACATGTATAAAGTGTCCCCTGTACACAGTATGTATATCAGTTTGTAAAGGATGCTGGGATCCTTCAAGATGGAAGACACCATCTGAGATACTGTATTACTAAACCAAGAAAAAAGAAATACTTTGGGCCTCTTGGAAGTAAAATATGCTGTTTTTCTGTTTGGTCTTAATACCTATAAAGCTCTGAAACTTACCACTGAAAAACGAAACATTGCATTCCCATTACCTTCCAAGCTACAGGAAATATAAAGAGATGGTAAATGAAAAAAGTGGAAAGCTCCTGGTATCCTGGTGCCTAGCTGTTACCAACCTCTGGAAGACTGTAGAGCTACTAAGCACGAGTAGCAATTTGAAATTATAATTACTTCAAAAATTAAAAAGGTGTGATGACGTAGCCTTATACAAGATGTTCAACCTTTGGATCTCTACCTGGCTAATACTATTTATGTTGCTTCCTTTTTTCTCTTTTTAATAGCTTTTTAAAGTAGTTGAACCTGATATATATTTCCTTTTAATTCATGGACACATTCATATGCAAGAGGCAGACATGGCAAATAAGTTCTAGGAAAAGAATGATAGCATTTTAATGTCACTGCTCAGAACATTCCAACTTCTAGATTTTTACTATGGCTACAAATTATAGTTATGGCCATTTTCAAATAATATATTAAATCAGATCATACAAAATGTGACTCCAAGGGACATTGTGCACTGCCTTAAAATGCATCCTTAAGACTTTCAGAAAGCTCAGTAAAGTTAAATTTTTCCTTTAACTTTTTATGGTGAGTTAATTCCCTTTTGTAATTTTAAATACCCTCATCTATTCTCCTAGAAAAGGTATAGCCAGCAAAATCAGAGAGGAATTGAAGATTGGTTTCACATACTATAAGCATCAATTGCTCCCCAATGGCCCAGATGTTATTTCTGTATTCCTGAACCCACATGTACGTGGTAGGCTATTTAGGCTAGTATCAGTAAGGTGAGAGAGAGATTCTCTCAGCATGGATGAGATCAGAAAAATGAAGTGGTAAGTCTTCCAATTTGATACCAGGAGGTACCTACTAAAACCCCCTCAATTCATTTGTTTTACTGCATGGATTTAGATTAATGCAACCACATCTGAAAAAATGTTGTTAATACCCTTAATTACCAAATAGTTTTTGCACACTCCTTCAGTGTGATTTTGATATTAAAAGAACTTCACATTTGGTCAAAACAGTTTTTGAGTCATCATCTCAGACGTTCTCAACCTTTTGAGAGTCAAGACACCCTCGCATAACTGTGAATTGAGAAGCACCCCATTAAAAAAATAATTCCTTTATTTCAGGGCTTACCTCCTTGCAGAGGGGGCAGGCAGTAGGGGTGGGAGAGCAGCTACATAGAGAGAGACTGAGCCTGCTCTTATCTGCTTATCCCCTCACAACCTGCTTATCTTATACTTTCCGCACCCTTCAAAGGATCTCATGGCATCCCAGGGTTCTCTGACATGCTGGCTGAGAATCTCTGCTGTAACCTATGCCTTCAATGGTTTTGGTTTAAATTGTGTAAGTGGACCTTTTGGTGATTTATTTAAGTAATATTATATATTATACACACACACACACACACACACACTTTTATCGTTTTAGCCCTTTAGATAGGTTTTAGGAATGAACTAAAACCTTCCACCTGTTAACCATTTAAAATAGACATGTAAAACAAAGCTGTTTCAGGCTAACAAGCGAAGTCAATACACATGCATTTCACTCTTATGCCTGTGCCCCTTAGTACTGTAACATGTCACTTGATGTACTGTGCTAAAAATCAAATACATCTATTACTTTTATTTTGTTTTTTGAGAACAGGTTGGCCATCTGCAAGCACTTTCACAGATCCACTTACCCGATTTCCATTTTTCACATGGGCTGCTATTTCATATACTTTGGTATTTGCTTTTGCACAAATATAATTAGGGCTGACAGCTGCCTTTTTGCTACTGAATTATCCCTTAACAATGATCCAAAAGGCAATCATTACCAAATCGTCGCTGCACATTCTTTTACTAATATTTAAAAAGCTTTACCTTTGGGCTAGAGCAATTTTCAATTTATCATTCTCAGTTTTCAGTTGTGCATCAGCAGGGCCACCATGTGATGCCTTCTCATCATCTGTTCCATTCACACTCGAGGCGCGGGTAGAACATGGTGTTTCACGTCCAGATTCCTGTGGCACCATCCACAAACTAAAGTCAACTTACTGGCTTTTTTGGGAGAGCAGGGGGCAGCAACACAAAGCTAAGCACTTCCTCACTAAGCATGTGAAGCATATTGTGTACAAAGGAGTCAAAAAGTTTCTCTCTTTTCCAATCAAAACATGGTGCTATCCCCATCTTCATATTAATTTTCAAAGGAATACAGTCAGAAAGGGGAGGAAACCTAAGAATAAAGTGTGGACGGTACAAAGTGTGTTCTGCACTTAGCAAAAACATTTTCAACTCCTTCAGAAACATGAGATGTTTCATAGCACAGCCTACTTAGATGAGTGCACGAACTGGCAGAGTCAGACCAGTAGCTAAGAGATCAGTGTCTTTTTAAACCTGGCTCATGTACCAATCTTTTGACAACTTCTATGTACACTACCCTTTTATAGCAACTTAGATCATGCATACATTATAAATGATAACAACAAAAGTAGAACATGAAACATATACAACGGTAATAAAAGCTAAGATGAGAAACACGATTTACTAATTTGATGTTTGAAAATTTTCAAGAAATTTTTAAAATCCATTATTGGAAGCAGAAAAGAAAGATTTTCCTGCTCCAAAGAAATCAGCTTCACGTATTGTTCATCAGAGGTCCCTCGTTATAAAGTAGAAGAGACTCTAAAGACAGTTATTCACAATGTTTAATGAATGACTATTTAAAGTCAGGCTCTGAGGTCTATGCTTATGGATCCAATAAGAGGACTGATGTATTTTTTCTGAAGTGCTTAGCACACCGCAGCTCCCATCAAACAACTAAATGTTCTCTTGATCTTTAAATTAGTCGTCAAATGAAACGTAGTCAAACTCTCCTCCAAATGCTAACACTTTTATGCAAAACACAAATGAGTTGCCAGTAAACAAGAATGATTCTTAGCTTTAGTCTTTACATAAATACAGTAAATTACAGTAAGAGATTGTGATAAAACCTTATTTCCTCATATCTTTTTTTTTTTTTTTTTAATTGTTAACACAAGATAGTGACACCTTGCTAGGCAAGGCAGTCCTGGAGAGAGAGTGTGTTCTTCAAACATGCATTGCAAGAGCTCTTCCTACCAGTCACAAACAGTAAAGGATGTTAAAGGCTTATCTTTTGCTTATATACCATAGCACTTCTTCTGTATTACCGAATTTGGTCAGTGAGACACAAGAAAGCCCTCTACGGAAGCTTGTACTTTAACTGTACAAAATTACCTTGCACCAAACTAGGTTAGGCAAATAGCAAAAGCAAGCATAACTAAAGATCTCAATTCTTATAAAATTCCTGAGCACAACAGTAAGACTAACTCTCCACTGACCAGTCCCATGCATAACTGTATGAAAGAATCTATGGGTAACCTTGGTATTTTTTTTTTAATTATTACAACTCAAATGTTCTGAAAAGACAACTATAGTTATAAAACAGAGAAAGAACATAGGGAAGGAAGAATATTCCTTTAACAATATTAATAGCCAACAGTTAACAATGATCTTTAGGACTTTAAGCTACACAAAGCATATATCGCTCATTGGAAAAATAAGCATTAAATCACGTGCATGTGTGTACGTGTGCACAGGTACATATTTTACAGACAAAACTTACTTGGGAATGATTGCTTGATGTTTCAATTTTCTCTTGAGATCTGTCTCTTGCTAGTTTGGCAGCTTCTTTTACTTCCTGGAATTTCTCTGCAAACTGCCAAATGCATGAAGAATATTTATTCAAGTAATTTATAATTACAATAAATTAATTTACAAAACATTACAATATATTAACTCAATTTAGAATAATTTCCTTATATTTGTTATTGACAGTCCACAATAACCAAAGACTATACAAACAGTACTGGCTATTTACATTTTTTGTAGATTTAATATTTGAATTCTTTGTTTGATTTCAGGATAAAAACAAACAGGATTCCCTTAAAAGAATGTAGTAACAGTCTTAGAATCAGGGCAATATCTCCATAGTTTCCTTAGAAACTAATGCAACGTCCCCCAGGCACACTGGATGTGTAATGTGCTTTTTTGTCTGTGTTCTTTTTTATGTGGGCAAGACTGTCCCTGTGTTTTGGCCATGTGCTCAGCACAAGGGAAACTGGGGTCATATCTGGGGTCAATATGCAAAACCCTCTGGCCTCAGTGGCCCAGGGAAGCAGAGGATTCTCAGATCGACTGGTTGGGAGAGGAACTGATTGGACAAGGCCAGGGTGATGTCATGCAGAGGGATATAAAGGGAGCTAGACTGATTTGGAGGGAGAAGCTGGTAGCAGATGCTGAAGAGTAAAGTCTCCTGCATGGGAGAAGCAGTGCAGCTAGTGCAAAGGGAAGCTCGGGTCTAGGGGAAAAAGAGGGAGAACTGCTCCAAGGTCTGGAACTCCTCTCTCTTCCTTTTCTTCCCCTTTTTCTTTTTTGAGGTTTAAAAGGGATGAATACTGGGTGTTTGCTGGCCAGGATTTAGGCCTGGCAGTTTAAACAGGGTTGGAACCTGGGTGTTTCTAATCCTGCCAGTTTTGTGCCGGCTGTAACCATTAATAAACTTGGTTCTTTTGGAGTTTCCCTGCAGTTTTCATTTCAGCAGGCCATCTAGTCTAGCCCGCAAGTGTGGGGCGTGTGCATGCTGCCTGGAGCCACAGTCGCTCCCCACACACATATACAGCCTCTCCTCTGCTCATGGGAGCAAAGACTGCCATGCCACTATCCATCCGAGAACACCGAGGGGCCCTTGCACCACTGAAGGACCCGTGCTCTCAAGCAGCTTCCCCTGGTGCAGCACAACCTACAGATTATGTTGTGTAGTTAGTAGCGTTTCACACTGCATTTGGTGCTGTTTCCAGTTTTCTGTATTGAATCTCTTTTTTGGTTACACATGTTTTTGTTTATGTGGGACACCCTAGTAATAAATTTAGTGTTCCCAGATTTCTGGGTGGGGACTTGAGCCACGGGTATAAATTTATGAGGTAGCCCAAAATGTGAACCCGGCCCTTGTGTTGCTGACTGGTGCCTGGCAGAAGGGTTACACTAACAAAAGTGAAGGGACAGTTGCTGTAGGTTTGAGTCAGCTCCTCCCCCCAAAAATATTAGCCTATTAAAGTTTAAGGGTAAAAGATGTAAGTTTCGGTTAAGGATTCTCAAATATTTTCTCATTTTAAAGGGAAGGCAGCTGAAGGACAGAAAATAGAGCAATCACATTAATCTGAGGGTATGAGTGCAAGAAAAAAGAGAGGTGGTTACGATAACCCTAATGGTAAAAATGGGATTGTAGGAAAAATGGCCTTATGCTAAAAAAAGAAAAAAAAGTCTCATTTTCTTATGACTAACGAAAATAAAGTTTTTCATTGCCATGCCATTGTCATGGGTGACTTCAATTACCCAGACAAATTGGGAGGAACACTTGGCAAGGTTAGATGGTTCACGCAGTTTCCTGACCATGAGCTCTTTCTAATCTAGGAGGTGCAAGGGCTAACCAGAAGTAACGCTCTCCTAGACCTGGTGTTGGCCAAGGGAGATGATCTGGTGTGTGGCACCAAGTTATGGGGAAGTGTGGTCACACCAGAAGATAGGGTGCAGATACAGGCAGACCTGGATAGGCTAAAGAGCTGGGCAGACTGGAACCAGATGAAGTTTAACACTTCCAAGTGTAAGGTGCTCCATCTGGGTGCAAATAACCCTCAACCTATATACAGGTTCGGAGGTGACAGCCTGACTTGCATGACTGAAAGGGACCTAGGAGTAATGACGGACCATCACATGAACATGAGCCAGCAGTGCGATGCAGTAACCAGCAGGGCAAACAACACGGTGGCATGCATCAACCGATGCATCTCGTGTAAAACTATGGAAGTGATACTCCCACTGTACTCAGCACTGGTGAGACCGCAGCTGGAGTAATGCATCCAGTTCTGGGTGTCGCACTTCAACAAGGACGTGGAAAAACTTGAGAGGGTCCAGAAAAGAGCCACCTGTATGATCAGGGACTTGCAAGGCAAGCCATATGAGGAAAGGCTGAGGGACCTGGGTCTCTTTAGCCTAGATAAGAGAAAGTTGAGAGAGGACTTGATAGTGGGATACCGCTATATCAGAGGAGTGCATCAGGAGCTCAGTGAACAACTGTTCACTAGGGCACCCCTGGGGAAGACCAGGACCAATGGATATAAACTCCTGGAAGGCCATGTCAGGCTTAATACCAGGAAAAACTCCTTTGCAGTCAGGGTGTCCAGACTGTGGAATAAACTCCCTCCAGAGGTGGAGCAGTCACCTACCCTGGCGGTTTTTAAGAGGAGCCTGGACAGTCATCTCGCTGGGGTCACTTGACCCCAGTTGTCTTCCTGCCTAGAGCGGGGGGGCTGGTCCCTTCCAGCCCCTAACAATCTATGAAAAGTTAGTAGACCATTGATTGAAGACACCAGCATTAACTGTTTCTCATTCACATAAGATATTAATTCAATCACTGAGGGGGAAAAGGTATTGAAGCCTCTATTGTTAAATCGACAGACTAAGGATGGGATTTTCATAAACAAGTCCCAGTTGGACTTGTATAGCACTTTTGAAAAGCCTTATAAAGAAAAGGCATTCTACCTTTTGATTTTACATACAAATCCCAGTCATTAACAGAACCATTTGATTTCATAGATATGATTTCAAAAGGAAAATTATAAAGGAAGGATAGCTATGGGAAACCTCTAAATAAAAGGTGTTGAGGAGGAGAGAGGGTGGGCACAAAGCTGTGAATGTACCACCTAGTTGCCAACTGTGGCTGAAACTTGCATGAGAAACATCACTGAAAAATGTCTGACACTGGAAAGAAAAGACATTTAAAAGTAATTTAAATAGGAGTTTTTATAATTTTCTTATTTATATTGACTAAAATGAATAGCCAATGTAGCATTTGATGGCTCAGGATAGACAGGACAAAAAAACAACTGTGAAGAAATAAAGCACAAGAACTCAAACATGAATAAGGCTACACTTCACACTAAAATTCAGGAATAGGTACAGAAGGAAGAACTGCATCCAAGAAAGAGACAATGGAGAGCCAGAGGTCACAGCAAAAAACACTTTCAGAAAGAGTTTACACATTTTGTTTAAAAGAAGAGGGGGAAAGACTGAGATGGATTAAAACAGGGGAGCCCGACAGGAGACCTTCAGTCATCCATGAAATGAGATACCGATCTCTCTCACACCAATACCTCTTAGAAAGGTCATCAAGGGGACACGACTACGCCAGTAACAGAGCCAGATCATGCAGCTCTTTAATCCTTATAATATGTTAACAGGTAAACAACACTTTGCCCTTCTATCACTGCCCATGAAATCTTCCAGAATTCAATGAAAACAAGTAGGCTTGATTTGAAGCATCTGGTATTAGCCACCACAGGCAGTATATCAGGCTAGATCAGGGGTTTTCAACCTTTTTGGATCAGTGTACCCCCGGCAGCTGGACATGGGGGGCGGGGGGGCGTGGTTGGATGTGGAGTGGCAGCAACCGCTGTGTGCGAGCTTCCCTCACCCCGCATCTGGCCAGGCGGGCAGCACCTGTGCAGCAGCGTGGGATGGTACGTGGCAGCGCTCCATCCCCACCCACCCATGCATACCCCACCAGGCCTTCTCAAGTACCCCCGGGGGTTTGCATACCTCCAGTTGACAATCACTGGGCTAGATGGGTCTGTTTCACTGTGGCAATTCCCATGTCCCTATGTTGCATGTAGGACAGATAAACTTACTCTGAACCCTGTCCTCCTCCATATGGAGAACACTGCTATTCAATGGAGAACAGGGTCCTGAATACAGTAAGTGCTACAACAGGCGGGGTATATTTCCATGTCAGTTGAAAGTGCAACTGCGTTCAGCTAGGCACAGCAGTCTTGAATTGTGATAACAGAGCAACAGCAGCACAGAGCACAGTGCAGGCTGCAAAACCCACCCAAAAAGCTGGGTAAATGGGAGTATAGCCAGTGCTGAGTTTCATGCTGCCACAGCTAACCTGCCACCAGGGCCTCATTCGCTGATACAAAGCTCAGGTATGCCTACAAAAGTGTCAGCGGCACAGAAGCACAGACTTGTTAGGGGTGTTTGGATTTTTCCAGCATTTTAGGAGCAATCTGCACACATATGAACAGAAGGGAAATTTCCATTAAGCACCTGGACCATCTTAAGATTCCACTCAATGTGCATATACGTGCAAAAAAAAAAACAAATTAAATTTCAAATTTTAATTTGTGGAGGTTGCTGGAATATGGTTCATGAGATGCATATGGGCTTTAGAGACCAGCTACCTTTTTTAAATTCAGCTGAAGCTGAATGTAGGAAGAAAGTATTCTTTGTTGGGATGAGTGAGTTATACATAAGTGTACATATGTAGATCTACAAAACTCATTAAAACAACCGTACTATGTTTCATCTGTAAGTGATGAAACTCCAAAGTTCTCCATGTAAAATATATTTACTGCTGCTACTGTTATTGGATCAAAACATCTACAAGAGACAGACTATTTTTAACATCCTTTATGTTAACATTAGGCTTTAAATTTGGGTATCTTCCACATGGCTTATTGTTGAGTCACTCTCTTATAATAAATCTTATGTAGGAACATGCAAAATTCATGAGTCTGAGTAAACTAGGAACAAATATGAAAAGATCTGAAAAAATGACTTGTACAAACTAACACTGTAAAGGTCAGAGAAGACAGGTCAGAA